AGGAGTGACCCCTAAGATACCCTGAAATTTGTAGACCTCTAGCTCATCTCCTTCCTCTTACACGGACGACGGACAGACAGACAGACACGAGAGCGGTTGCATAAGCCCGCTTTAATGCTTTTTTAAAAGCAGAAGGGCGGGCTAAAAACCACAAACGCACTTACCATGTCAGCTGGGTCGGCTTCGTCATCAGAATTATCTGGTGGCGTCCCCGCCACTTCAGCTGCTGTCTGTGCCTCCTCAGCTCTCTGCAGCATGTCACTCAGGGCGTACACTCTAGGCAGGATTGCACTAGCTGTCACATTCTTCTCCGAGGACATCCGTTGCGTCAGTTCGTCTAGAGGATCAAGTGTATTGGTGTAGGACTTGAGTAAGTTCATTTCTCCACGGCTGAGTAGCGGTTTCATTCCTCTCCCACCGTCATGCACAGCGAGAAATTCACTGATGTGAACTTCATTTTCAATAATGGCGTGGTTGAGTGGGAGCTCACTCCACCAACGCGTGGGGCAGAGGCTAGGCAACTTCTTAGCCTTCATTTCATACCTTTCTTGAATGAACCTGTTGTACGCCCTGAAAACTTTAGAGGAGGAAAAATACTGCTGAAGGGCATGTGTTTTCTTGGTAAGTGCAGCAATTTTATCTAGCTGCTTCACGTCATCCATTCCAGTCTGAATGGTATGTCCAAGACACCTTATATTCGGAACGTCTAACAGCTCGACACCTAATCTCATGTTATCCCCATTATCAGTGGTGATTGCACTAATTTTCGAACGAGGCAGACCCCACCTTCTAAAATCTTCTAAAATAATATGCGACATCCGTGAAATCATGTGAAATCACGCAATCTTTGCAATCATGTGTACATCCAAAGAGAGAGTGGTGGCCCCCTCGCGTGAGCCGACCCGACCGACGATGGCTTCGGGTTCGTCGGGTCCAGCGCAACCCGACTAACCCGACGCAGTACGCTCCCCCCTCTCTCTCCCCCCGCCCCCCTCCTGCAGCGGCTGCAACCCTGCAGCCAGAGAGTGCGGACCGCGTGTAATGGTTTTCTAGGCGCGCGGCGCGCGAGATTGCAAGAACAACCCGACTTGTGCACAAACCCTCCAGTATGGCGGATTTGGCGGTGCGCGCCGCACTCAACTCACTCAGCTGCACACAGCACATCACAAGCAAAGCACAACACAAGTACAAAGCACAAGTGTTTTTGAGGGAAATGAAGAACTTTAAAGCTAAACGCCTCTTTACACAAAAAGT